TTATATTATATTATATTATATAGTTTTGTTTTATTTTTTTAATTTTATTTATTTTATTTTATTTTTTAAGAGAACGAAATATCCAAGTCCCATCCTGAGTCATCTACTTCTTCCCTTTTTTACTCTTTTCTCTGATTTCCTTGCCCAGCTCTTTCCCAGCTCTTTCTCAGTTCCTTGTCAAAGCTGTTTCCCCTCCATAGGCACACTGGTTCCTGCTATGTCTCCTGGTACAGCCAGTCCCTGTCTTCTCTCCTGCCTCAATGCTTTCTTTTGGTCAGTGTGTCTTCCCTGCTCCTCCACACACTCCTGCATTGGGAACTGGCTGTAAGAGGCACTGATACAGAATCATAGGATAATTTTGTTTGGAAAAGACCTTTAAGATCATCGAGTCCATCCATAAACCTACCACTGCCAAGTCCGCCACTAAATCATGTCTCTAAGCACCACATGTATATGTCTTTTAAATACCTCCAGGTATGGTGATTCAACCATTTCCCTGAGCAGCCTGTTCCAATACATGACAATGCTTTTGGTGAAGAAATTTTTCCTAATATCCAATCCAAACCTCCTCTGGTGCAACTTGAGGCCGTTTCCTCTTGTCCTATTGCTTGGTACTTGGGAGAAGAGACCAGCACCCACCTCACTACACCCTCCTTTCAGGTAGCTGTAGAGAGCGATAAAGTCTCCCCTCAGCTTCCTTTTCTCCAGACTAAAAAACCCTATTTCCCACAGCTGCTCCTCACAGGACTTGCTCTCTATATCCTTGACCAGTTTCATTGCCCTTCCTTGGACATGCTCCAGCACTTCAATGTCTGTCTTTCAGCAAGGGGCCCAAACCTGAACACAGTACTCGAGGTGCAGCCTCGCCAGTGCTGAGTACATTAGGACAATCACTTCCCGAGTCTTGCTGGCCATCCTATTTCTGATATAAGCCAGGATGCTGCTGGCATTCTTGGCCACCTGGCTCATATTCAGCCAGCTGCCAACCAACACCCCAAGGTGCTTTTCTGCTGGGCAGCTTTCCAGCAAATGATAGTTGCTTTCTACTCTCTCCTCAATCTTTTCCTCTGTTTCTCAACCCTCAGACTCCAGTCAGATATTTCTCTGTTCACCATTAACCTCCAGCCACAGCCCCATTTCCCTAGGCTGATTCTGGTCTTGTGATCTGTCACAGCTCTTGTATCTTTTTCCTTTCCTGCTGCTGGGAATACACCAACAAGCTCGCTAGGACCATGAGCAAGCAGCTTCCTTGGCATCCACCGCCCTTGGCCCACAGCCACCCGCAGGCAGTAAAGTGAGTCCTGTTGCTGTGTGATCAGGTCTCCTGCTACACCCTTTCACAGGTGGCTGTGGAGCATTTAAGCATTGCCGAGAATGAGATCTGGCTGCTGAAAGCTCCAGCACATCTGTAGTGCGTGCAGTCTGCTTTCTTCTGTCTAGGAGTCAACATTTTTACTTGATTTGGTATGATTTTCACAGGGACAACAAACACTCTCTTCCAGAGATTTCTCCTGGTGGGCTAGAAGCCCATGTGACTATAGATCTCTGAAGAGGTTCCTGTCTTTATTTTTAATGGTCAATGTATTTTCTTCTAGCTTCAGTTTTAGAAATGGATCATCTGCTTTTGGCTTTTGTTGGGTTTTTTTGTTGTTATTTTATTGTTGTTGTTGTTAAAGGTGGAATCTGATACGAGAACTGTCTACCTTTGCAATTAAAGTTTGTAAAATTGAAATAGCTCGTTAGAATGTTTTGATACTGCAAACGCAAGTCCCAGCTGTATTATTCATTGAGGTAGGTTTCAGTGAATCCTCAATGTCACTTTATTGCACTAGTGTTAGCTGGGCCATATTGTAAAATAAAACTTAGCTGTACACTAAGCATGACCAGATCAGATAATAAAAAAGATAGTCCTTGCCCTAGAGAAATTATGATTAAGATATAAAATATACTAATTCGATATAGATGGATGAGGAGAACAACTTGAATTATACTTGTAAGCTTTTAGGGTGCTGGGATGTTGCTTATAAAAGATTGATATTGCAGCACAGAAGTTTTTAAATTATTAACACTTCGCAATGTGTATCGGTAGTGGGAGAAGTAACAAGACAGAAGGTAACAATGCACTTATTCAAAAGAACAGCCCACAGGTAGTGGAGTCTGGCAGTACTGGTAGACTGGCTACCAGAGTAGACATTTCAGTATTGATTGAGAGGTCATAGATGAAGAGCCCTGGAAGTGCAAACAAGGAAACTTTATTGACCACAAGAGAAAGAGACAGTGGAGGGATGCACACCATTAAAAATCCCACCCTGTGCTGGGCCAGAACTGACTACACTCATTTCATCGCCAGCAATGCCAGTCTAAAGTGTTCTCGGAGGCTTTCATTGCTGCTGCGGTGCTGAATTCTTTCCCAGTCAGTTTTTCACTAGCTTTACCAGAAGAAGGTTTTTACTAATGCTTATCCTGAGCCCCCCTTGGTACTGTTTAAGTTCATTACCTGCTGTCATATACACATTCAAGGTGGAAAAAACTCCTGGGTTGTGTTCAAATTTTAATCTATGGATCTTTTTTTGCTGAACTGATATTAGGCTCTCACTCTGCACCTTGTGTCTGTGCAGTGGATTATTTCTGGTTAAATATAGAATTTTGCATTTGCTGTGAAGTAAATTGCATTTAATGTTCATATTTTTTTCTATATTTATACAGCTCACAAAATGAGTAATGAGAGCAGCTGATCAATTTTTACTTAATGGATAAAAAATACTTTAATTTTCAAACATTCATATTGGAGAGTAAATCCATTGATTTGCAGAACCCTGTTAGTGGTTAAAAGCAGTATTTAAACTACAGATGCTTTTCCTGACGATTGTGCACATGTAAAGTAGAAGTGGCACTTTCATGAAAGCCCTTGTCGCTTGCCCATGGGAGGCTTTTCATTGATTTCAGATTTCAGACTGATTTTCAATAGAATCAGTCATGTCCTAAACATGCCACAGTGCTCAATAAATGTTTTTCCTTTTATTTGTGTACATTGCATAACATGGAGAAGTGTTAGTCAAGACAGGACAAGATTTTTTCCCTTTTAAGGTCCCCATGCATAGTGGGAAAATGGTACTTCTGTTTATACACTTTTCATTATTTCAGCCAGCTTCCCTTTTTTTTTTTTTTTTTCCCCCAGAAAATATCTCTGCTTGGAAGCTTTTAGAATTAAGGATTCAGCTGAGGATGTATTAAATAAATGCAGTGTGCAACAGTTTATAATAGACTGGAATTAAGTTTTTGATCTCAGATGACTCAGCTGACTTCCCAGGCTGTTGTGACTGCTAATGTATAACCCTGACATTTATTTAAAAAAAGCCTGTCACAGAAGGAGTGAAATAATAAAACTATGAGTGATTCTTCCTCCCTGATCCCTTAATCCACCCTTAACTCTTAAGCCGTCATTGCAGGAAGAATGACTTTTAACTCTTCAAAAGGCTTCCACTGTTCAGATTCAAAAAGTTTGGGAGCATCATTAGAAATTAATACTAATCTTATTCCAATGAAGTTGAATGGGCACATTTCTATAATTAAGTAAGAGATTAATTTTGTATTCAAAATGGCAATACTAAAAAGAACTGCTGAAAATGAAGCACTGTCACAGTGAGTACAAGACTAAACAGGCTTTATAATACGTAATTAAATAAACTGTTATACAAATGATGTGCTTGTATGCCCCTTTCTGTACTCAGTATCTTTCTGGCTGAACAGGCTGCACTATAACTCCTGTCTTCTTCTTCCATTGTATGTACACATACTTTTATAGTTATGGGAACGGGTATCTCAGTTGTCTTAAATCCATCCTGCAGCTGTGGCTGTGATGGAAAAGAAATTTCCTTCTTTTTATCTCTTGTTTGGTGTATTATTGTTATGTTTCAATTATTGCTACTACTACTACAAAAACTACTAGTACAAGAGTTTATATTCTGATAGCACCAAGGATTTTTAACTACAGAACTATATATTTACTCTTCCCCAAAGGAACAGGGAAAAAGACAAAATGCAAAATAAATATAAGAAAGGACAAAACTATGATATAAAATGGGATGTTATGCAGTTTATTAATTCTGATTCATAAAAATATAAATATATATCTAAGAATTTGCCTCAAATGAAAGATATTCCAAAATAATACACTATAAATAACCATCACTGATATTTTCATATGTAAAAAAATTAAAAGAATCATTACATTCTTGATGGGTAATTGTGTAACAATTTACTGGATCAAAAAAAAAGTCAGATTTTAAGGAGGATACTGGGTTGCTTTGCTGTTTTTACAGCTCATATACACTTTCTTTGTGGTACAGTCCTGTACAATATTTATGTACTGAATATATTTGAAATATACAAACAATTATTCAAATTTTTCATATGCTCCATGAAAATGCAAACCATTTAAAATATTGATAAAAATAACCAGAAGTATTCTCTAATTGCTCAAATGCAGCTATCAGCTGAAGATTAAGCTCATATTCACTCTGTAGTACAAGTTATAGTTTTATGTGTAGTGTTATTGGTGATAGTGGTTTTCATTACAGATACTGTGCAGTAAAATGTTCAGTCAGCTTATGGTTTTCTGTAAAGAAATCAGACTTCTGATATCTTGTAGAAGAGTTTTTCTTTCAAGTTACTGGTAACTGATAAGACTTGTTAGATACTTTGGTATAAAATTCTGTTCTCACATAGTATGTATTTGGATAGATAACAGGAAACTAAAAGGAACCTGAGGACAAATAAGCAGTCAAGTGATTTACTTTAATAAATATTTAGCTTAGTCTGTGAATGCCGGATCAGTGCAATTCATACTCATTTCTAATGCCATTTGAAATAAGTTGTAATATCAAAATTAAGATGGAACCATTAGGTTAAAGTACTCCTGACTGGAAACACTTTGAAATATAAAGACTTTTCTTTGAATGATACCCAGCAAAAGGGAAATCCACAGGGAATAAACTGTGAAAAAACTTCTAAAGCCTTTTGCCTGAAGTATTTCCCGACGAAGACATAAATCACAGGGTTAATGCAACTGTTGGTAGTAGCCAGAGTATAGCCAAACTGCTCTCCAAAGTTGAGCAGTTCCCCCCAGAAGCAGCCTTTGATCACTTCTGTCTGGTATAAAATATCAAGGAATACAAAAAAATGGTATGGAGTCCAGCACAAAAGAAATACCAGTACCACTGTAAAGATCAGCCTGGTGGCTTTTGTGCCTTTGTGGTCCTTGCAGCTCTTTGTTCTGAGTGTTCTTCGTTCTCTTGCCTTTTTTTGTAGGGAGTGAATGGTAGAGAAATTAAGGAAGGTGATTGCTGTAGATGGCAACGCAAACCCCACTATGTTGAATACCAGCTTTTCAGCTGTTACCCACAATGGGGTGGGGAAGTCTAAAGTGCATGCTGAAATATTCCACAGGGGAAAGTGCTTCACAGTCCGAAACATAAAGGTTGGAACACTGAGAAGGATGCCAAAAAACCAGGTGAGCAAGCAGATCCCTTTGGCCATAGTTTTGCTCCGTATCCTTCTGTGGTTCAAGGTATGAGCAAAAGTCAAATAGCGATCCACGCTGACTGCCACTAGCAAGTAGATGCTGGTGTACATGTTCAGGCTGATGGATGCGCTGGTGCTGCGACAAAGGAAATTGCCAAATGGCCAGTTGAATTCATTCCTGATATTCTCTGCCCAGAAAGGGAGGCAGGTGAGGAAGATAAGATCAGCAAAAGCTAGGTTCATAAGGTAGATTTCAGCTATCTTCAGGGGCCCCTTGTGCAGGCAATAAGTAAGGAAAACAAGTATATTTCCAAGCATCCCAATAACACAGATGGTGTCAATATACTTGGGTACTATATAATACACGATTTCCCACCAGTCATCCAAGTCTGGGCAAATACTTGAGTTGCTCTTGTTTTCACTCTGGTTTGAGGAGGAAACATTCAGAAGAGGAGTTTCAGTCATTTTTCTTAAATTCTGAAGTGAACAGGAGACCTTTTTGAAACGAAAGAAAGGGACTGCAAAAAAGAGGCAGAAAATTCTGAAAGTTGTCTCCTATCAGTGGTGTAACAAACATTTAACTGCTGGAAATTCTTTATTAGTGCTCACTGATTATTATAGGCTAGATCAATCCATGCTTCACATGTACAATAGTGAGAAATGTTCCCAGTAAGAGTGAGGATGTAACTTCCTCTACATCCTATGAAATTTCCTCTCTTTGCTGCCATTGTTTAAAGTGGCACAGAGGAAGAAAATTACCAGTTTAGTGTAAGTAGTGCTCCAAGTCTCCTCCAGAATAACGACAGAAACAGATATAGCCAAATTCCAGCTCCCTGAGAGTAGCAGGAGTCACACTGGTGACACAAAGCTAGTTTTGCACCCTTCACTGCCCTTTCTCTTACTCTTATTTTCCACACTATGTATAATTTTAGCAGGATGATGCCCGTTTTCCCAGAACTGGCAATGCTACTCACTGTGCGGATCATTTTTTTTCTTAACTTTGCATTCTTTTGTTCCCTCTCAGTTCCTCCCATTCTGAAGTTTGAGTTCAAAATTACTGTTAGATTAGACATCTTATTGCCCTTAAATGTCAACAATTGTAATAAAAAAACCATTGACTCTTCCAAAACCTTATGCTTAAAATATTGCCTGGAGGGAAGGCCTCTGCTGCACCAAATTCACTCTTCTCCAGTTCAAAAATTTAATCTGAGTTCAGCTGGAGAGAGGCAGCCCCAGCCTCCAAAGCATTTAGGCTTTTTTAGCGTTGGCAATACTTTTATTTCTCTCTGTTAACTCCATGCAAGATTGCGCAGGAATGAGGGTGGAAGTAAGACGTTATCCTCCCATGAAAATGCACTGGGTTGCCAGAGCTTACTCCTGTGGTGACTTTATCCTCCTGATGTTGTCACACTCAACCATAATGTCTTGATCTTGGTTTTTATATTCAGTCTCAGAATCATTACATTAGACATGATATTACTGAGCCTGTTGTGATGTCTAACATTTCAACATTTCATACCCATGTGGAGCATGTCAATCATAAAAAAGAATACATTTAAAAAACCTAATATTTTGCAATCAGTCATCCTGAAGGTTAACTTTCTGCTACAGGTGTTTGACTCTGCTCTTTCAGTTTCTGTATTTTTTACACCAAGTAGATAGATAAGGATAGAATCTCTGAAGAGAACATTTAGGACCATTGTTTGTCTCTTTTACATATATGTACAGTATTAGTGATACCTGTATCTGAGCAGCTTGCAAAACTTAACTCTGTGATACCTCTAGGAATTAGTTAAGTACTAATATTCCACATCACGCAATTTGGTACTTAATGTACAGATCATTTTTCATCATTGCAGAATTAAGTAGGCATCAAAGTCTTGTCTGTGTTCATAAACTCAAGTTGGCAGTCTTGTCAGGAAACTGGGCTACAGCAAAAGTTAACACAGCTCTCTGGCTTCAAACATCTTCCCTCACAACAGTCTTAATATTATCTAGTTCACTGGCAGTCTCATGCAAACTAAGATAACTCAAGAGGACCTAAAACTGCAGAGAAGATATACAGAGAGCAAATAATTGACTGATTAGCATCAAAGAGGCTATTTGTGAGGCAGCAGGAGCTTTGATAGCAGGAGGCTGGCTAAGGTGTGAGAGTAATGGAAGGAAGTCTGTAACACTATATGTCAAAAATAACATAGAAGATAACAGTTAAACATTTCTTTCTGTAAACAGTTATTACGTTTTCTAAGCATAGAGGAAAAAGAAGTGCTTATTTTCCTTACTTGCCCATTTTCTGATGATTTCTTACTATCAGTTTATGCCAGTCACTTTGCACACTTTGGATGTGATCTCTGGGCTGGAGCCATGAGTTCATACGCAATGGTTTAAACTAAAAACTTCAGAACCACCTACTTTCCATTGCAACCGAGAGCTTAGCCACAGCTAAATCTGAGTTCTTGTTCAGCTAGTAATTTTATGTGAAGTTTGTTATCAGCAAAATTTCTTCTATAGTCTACTAGCCAGTACTACTCCAGATGGCTTCTTGGCAGAAAATGCAATTAATTTTTAGTTTCTTAATTTAATTTCTTCTTCAAAGACAATTTTATTCTGCAAGTATTTTTAAGTATCTAGTAGTAATGGACTAAAATGAATGGTTTTCTGTTTATTTACTTAACAGATTCCAGTCATCTTTTATGCAAATAATGACATTTTCCTACTTTAAACTCCTTTCTAATTAATTTACACATATAGTGAATCTATCACTATTATTATTATTATTATTATT